TCTCAGCTTTAGGAAAATATCACATTTATCTGTGGATTATCAAGGGCTCCATGTATTAAATTAATACATGTAACTGAACACTAAGATGAAAAACAATTTGCCATTAACTGCCAAGTGGCTAGATCTGTTACACTTGGGCCTATAGGGCCTCGAACCTCTGACCAGTCTTACACGGTCTGCAACAGGCGCCCAATGAAAGAACCTTAAAATATATAAATCAAACTCTAATAGAACTGAATAAAGAATGTAATACACCACTTTTTGTGAAAGACAGACAACTATAAAGAAACTCAACAAAGCAACAGAAGAAGTAAACAATACAATCAACCAACTTAAACTCATGGACATATACAGATCACTCAATCCAACAACAGCATGTATACATTCTTTTGTAGTGCACATGAAATGTTCTCCAAAATTGACCACGTTAGACCAGAACGCAAGCCTCAATAAAAAATTTTTTTTAAAAGAGTAAGTTTCAGAGACTTTTCTGACAATAATTTTTGTCTATCTTTCCTGTTTTTTAATGACCTTTGATCTGTGTACCGGGTCCTCATGAGCAAAATCAAGTACTCTGGAATACCTATTCTTCGCAATATCCATAGTTTGTCATGATTCACGCAGTCAAAAACCTTTGCATAGTCAATAAAGCACAACTAAACATTTTTCTGGTATTCTCTATTTTCAGCCAAAATCAATCTGACATCAGCAATGATTTGCTTTCTTCTTGTATGATATTCTTGGTATCATCCCACAGCTCTTCTTGTCTTTAGTCAGTTAGTGTCTAATGCATCAAGCTCTTCTTGAGATGGCCTCTAAATTCAGGTGAGATGTATTCAATGTCATATTTTGGTTCTGGTGGACTTGTTTTAAGTCTGTAGCTTCGAACTGAACTTGCATACAACCAATTGATAGTCTGTTCCACAGTCTGCCCCTGGCCTTATTTTGGAGGATGATACTGGGCTTCTCCACCAACTCTCCCCACAGATACAGTCAATGTGACTCCTGAGTATTCCATCTGGTAAGGTACATGTGTATAGTTGCCTCTTATATTATTTTTAAAAAGGTATTCGCAATGAATAAGTCATTGACCCTACAAAATTGTATCAGGTGATCTCCAGCATCATTTCTATCACCAAGACCATATTTTCCAACTACTCATCCTTCCTCCTTAATTTCAATGTTTGCATTCCAATCAATAGTAATTATCAAAACATTTTGTTTGCATGTTTGATCAATTTCAGAATGGAGAAGTTGGTAAAATTCTTCAATTTTTTTCATCATTGGATTTAATAGTTGGTATATAAATTTGAACAATACTGTCATTAACTTCCAATTATGGGTATTGGATGGATATTATCCTACCACAAACAGCATTGTACTTCAAGATAGATCTTAAAATGTGGTTTTTGATGATGAATATGATGTCATTCCTCTTCATTTTGTCATTTGAAGCATAATACACATTCTGATTGTCAGATTCAAAGTGGCTAATACCAGTCCATTTCAGCTCACTAATGTCTAGCATAGTGATCTGTATGCATTCCATTTCATTTCTGACAATTTCCAATTTTCCTAGATTTCTACTTCATACATTCCATGTTCCAATTACTAATTGCAGCTGTTTCTTCTCATTTTGAGCTGTGCATCATCAGAAAACAAAGGTCTGTCCCATAAGATCTACTCCATTCACATTCTTATGGTCAGCTCTACTTTGAGGAGTATTCTCTTCTCCAGTTATATTTTCAGTGCCTTCCAATCTGAGGGGCTCATTTTCCAGCACTATATCTGGCAACGTTCTGCTGCTATTTATAAGGTTTTCAGTGTCTAACCATTCAGAAGTATTCTCTTTGTATGTCTTCCTAACCTGTCTTGGTCTGGAAGGTCTGCTGACACATGTCCACCTATGGTGACCCTGCTTGTATTTAAAATACTTGTGGCATCACTTCCAGCACCACAACAAAACACAAGCCACCACAGTATGACAAACTGACAGCCAAGTGGTGATTTACACCTTTAGCTTCACCCAAAAAGCATGTCCCTTAAGGACCTACTGACCTCACTGACTACCAAAACTTGAGGAGAGGTGTAATTCTCAATGCAATCATTGCAATAAATAAATTAATTTTCATTCTGTCAATGCTGGTGCCCATACCCTTACTACTAATTCAAAAACAGAAAAAGAAAACAAGAAAAAGTTAAGTTGTTTACTCTCTTTATAATTTTTAGCTCATAGAAACATTTGTTTTGTTTGCTTTGTCATACATACCCATTACACCCATTAGCACAATGCATGAACTTAATGCATACATGTAATGGAAAAGACTGAATCATATGACAAAATAAAAATTTTTCATAACTGCATAAACTTACTTAAATAACTACATTTTAGGCATCAACTTAGACCAATTTCCCACACCTCCACCCTGAGTGGATTCTGACTCATGGTAACCCCATGTGTATCAGAGTAGAATTGTGCTCCATAAGGTTGTTGTTGTTGTTGTTTGTTTGTTTTAAAGTTTTTATTGTCAATTGAGTGAAAGTATATAAGGCAGATCCTCCAGTTTACATTCAACAAATCAGATACTTTATTTCATTACAATGATTATAATCCTCTCCATGTACCATCAGTTAACAGTATTTCTCTCTTTCATCCATTCATTTTAGCTCTTTTTTAAACACTCGGGCATATATAATACTTTAAACCACCAAAGAGCACATTCTGCAAGCCTGCCTCCTGGCTGCCAGCTCTCAGTATCTCTCTTTAAATTAATCTAGAGTCCTCAGCTGATCCCTCTCTCCAT